ATCCCTGTTCACTACTTCTGGTTGTCATTATATATCCACGCCAAAACTCATGGTCAGCGTTCATCAAGAGCTGCTCATTCTTTTTCCAAACACTCCACACTTTAGCCGGGTTATATTTAAGGAATAATATAAGATGTTGATAGGGTTAAAAATATTTACTCAAAAACAAAAATCAAAAAAATTTTGAATTAAATTAAACTTAATTGAAAATAAAACAATAATAATTATAATAATAAAAAAATTACATTATGCTAAGAATTTGAGCATAAAATATCTTGAACATAATTCTTAAATCTATCGCGAAACATTTCAAAAAATAGTTAAAATTTGTACAAATAGAATTTGAAAAAGATAAAGGTCTTTTCGTTTTTCATTTTTGAAAACATAAAATGCATTATTAAAGACTAATTTTGTGACCCAAATTCTAAACGAGATTTAAATATTTATACATTTTTTTTTTTCAATATTACATACAATTTTATTTTATTTATTCAACAAAAATACATAACAATTATAATGATTATTATTAGGCAAATATAATGGTTTTAAATAATATATTAATACAAAACATTTAAAGTACGCATTCCCTGTTTATGGTTGATTTATTTCTATATTCAACTATTATATTTTAATTTTTTGAACAGCATTTCTTTACGTTTGTTAATAAAATGTGAAGTACAATATAACGCATATTATTGTAAACATATACTTATTATCAATCATTTTATTATTTCCAAGTTCTTTGTCTATGTCATTTATTATCGAGTCTAAATTATCAGAGGATTTGTGTAATTCGTGAAATTGTGGTACTGTGTAATTTAATAATGCTATTGATAATAATTAGGAATTTTCAATTTTTTTTATTTTCATACTTATATGTCCGTAATGTCAATTAATGGAAAATTTGAATGAAAAAACGTGTTGATTAGTTTTTCGTATGTTTTTGTAGGTTTTAACACCGTTGTTGGTGAGTATAGTATAAATGTGTCCGGAATTATAAATATTCCTGCCTCTCGTTTAGTATGATGTGTAGTGTCGTGAAACATGCTAACGTTACAGTTGTAATCATTGCTACCCAATAAATAAATTGATCGGAACTACTTATTTTTTAAAAATAACTATCATTAAACATTTTGTAACCTGTATACTGTTTTGGTAATTTTGATGAATTTATTGCATTGAATAATTGAATTTTGCATAATTGATGGTTTTTTTGTAAATACAGTCGAGTCTCGATAACTCGAATGTCAAGGGACATAAAAATAAATTCGACTTAGGTATTTTTCGAGTTACATAACTCGAATTTTTTTAAAAATACGAAAAAATTTGAGTTAGACTTTATTTTTTTTTAAATTTGTTTTTATTAGAAGTATTATATGTATATTTATAAACTATAATTAAAATTAAAAAATTAAATTTTAAAACTCATTTCCTTATTTATTAATTAAAAATGTATTAAAAGATTACATTTTAAAACACAAAATATGTAAATTTCTTACAATTATTTAGAAAAATAATTTGAAATAAGAGTTTGACGTTTGGGTTGTTTTAAAATAAAGTCTTCAATGTCCCCCAAGTACTTGAAAAGTATTTCATCTGCACCTTCGGTTTTTTCAATGAATACTCTTAATTTATCAAGTGATGCTTTCGCTTCTTTTGTTGAGACAACTAATGGATATTCATCCTCTTCATCTTCGTCTGAGTCGGATTTAGGAGTCGGTTGCACTGCATCTACAATGTCTTGATCACTTAATACTCCAATTGTATGTATCTTAGTGTCTATTTCAGTAAATGTATGAAATGTAATTTCTGGTTCTAATTTATAGTGATCTACTATAAATTTCCAATCGGAACCTCCATCGTCGCTTTCTAAATGAGTATATTTGATTTCTTTTTCCTTAGTTGAAATTCCAGATTTAATAAAACAATTAACAATTGTATTTTTCTCGACATTTTCTCATGCTTTATAACACATTCGCATAGTTTGTAACAAGTTTATCGAAAAAGATCTACCTTCATTGATATCATTAACCATTTTGCGAATAACTTCTTTACGATATAATATTTTAATGTTCTGTATTATACCTTGGTCCATTGGCTGAAGTTGTGAAGTCGTATTTGGTGGAAAAAATTCTACTTTAATAGAATTGAATTTCTTTTTTGTTTTATGAGCAGTATAATTGTCAATAAAGAAGAGTACTTTTTTCCCTATTAAACTCATTTTTTTATCAAAATTAGACAGCCATTTTTCAAACAATGCACTCGTCATCCACGCTTTTTTATTTAATTCATAATCTAATGGATATGTTTTAATACCTTTGAAACACCTAGGTTTTGCCGATTTTCCAATTAATAGTGGTTTAATTTTATCTGTGCCAGTCATATTTTATCCTAAAAGAATTGTAACTCTTTCTTTACTGTTTTTTCCCCCTGCACAGTTCTCTCCTTTTAAAACAAATGTTTGACTCGGTAAACATTTATAAAATAAACCTGTTTCGTCAACATTATAAACGTCATCGGTGGAATATTGATTTATAATTGGTAGGTATTTTACTAACCACTCAGAACATATTGATTGGTCAACTGAAGCGTTTTCACCACATATCTTACGAAAAACGACGTTATTCCTAATTTTCCAGTTGCTTAACCAACCTTGACTAGCTTTAAATTGTTTATTGCCGAGTTTAGTAGCAAAAAATTCGGCCTTCTCCTTTAAAATTGGTCCATTTATTGGAATGTTTAAATCTCTACATTGAATAAACCAATTGAGTAAACTAACCTCTATATCGGGATACTCACAAATCTTCATTCTTTTCATGGACCCTTTATTAGTTTCGTATTTTTGTAAAATATCGTCTTTATTTTTCAGAATAGTTGAAAGTGTACTGTGTGGAATATTAAATTGCTAGCAATTGCTTACTTTTTTCTGTTTACCACTTTTTGTCACCTCACTTATAATGTTCACTTTTTCAGCAATTTTTAATGTAACCAATTTACGTTTAAGAGACATAACTACAAATTGTACACGCTACACAGCGAAGATATACGGCAACTGCCGATTATTTTACAGCACAGTTGTACATAGGATAATTTCATTTATATATTTGTGATTGTAAACCGGTTATTCTAACGATAAAATGTAAGAAATAACTTCGAGTTATCTATGCTCAACTATTTTTATATTTGACTTATCGCGACAAATATTGCATTGAGTGTATAGGAATTTCCTAGGGACAAAAAAAAATTCGAGTTATCGAGACTCAACTGTATTGGAACTTAAGGAAATAAGACCTACTGTGCAATGGTACATTTCCTTTATGTTCCTAGGACATTTTCTTGGGACCAGTTACATCCCAATTAGAGGTATTCGGGCGTTACGGCAACATTGATAGGCCTGTTAATGACCGTTATTTTTAAAAATACAAAAAACATTACACTCACGTTTTCAAGGAAATAAGATAGTCCGTTTGATAAAACTGTATATTTCTGCATTTCTGTCTCTGTAAGACTTATAAAATGTTGGTTGTCTTTAGCAACTGCTAAATATGGATGTTGAGGTTTAATAAAAATGAATTGGGAATTTGTAATTTCGATAAGCATAGGCCACACTCGAAACAATGTGTATTGTGTCCGATCATAGAATGGGAAAGTTAATATAATGAGTACTTGTTAATTGTAAAATATATTTTTAATTTTTACAAGTTTTAAAAATTCATCAATTGCCGTATCCATAATTATATCAACTGCCAAAACTTGTGTGGTAGGTAATGTATTTTGTATATTTTCTAATATCTTGTGAAGACATTAGCGTTGAGTATCGTTTATTAAGTTTGACCTTTACTAGCTTTTAAGTTAAGTTATAACTGCCACAAATTATTGATATTAATTTTATAATATATTTTTAGTGTTTTATAGCATGTTATTCTTCTAATTTATCGCGGTAT